TTCCCAGTTCCCATTCCCTGTGCCCATTCCCATTCCCTGTGCCCATTCCCTGTGCCCATTCCCTGTGCCCATTCCCATTCCCTGTGCCCATTCCCTGTGCCCATTCCCTGTGCCCATTCCCATTCCCTGTGCCCATTCCCTGTGCCCATCCCTGTGCCCATCCCCTGTGCCCATTCCCATTCCCTGTGCCCATTCCCTGTGCCCATTCCCTATGCCCATTCCCATTCCCTGTGCCCATTCCCATTCCCTGTGCCCATTCCCTGTGCCCATTCCCTGTGCCCATTCCCTGTGCCCATTCCCATTCCCTGTGCCCATTCCCTGTGCCCATTCCCATTCCCTGTGCCCATTCCCATTCCCTGTGCCCATCCCTGTGCCCATTCCCATTCCCTGTGCCCATTCCCTGTGCCCATTCCCTGTGCCCATTCCCTGTGCCCATCCCTGTGCCCATTCCCTGTGCCCATTCCCATTCCCTGTGCCCATTCCCTGTGCCCATTCCCATTCCCTGTGCCCATTCCCATTCCCTGTGCCCATTCCCTGTGCCCATTCCCTGTGCCCATTCCCTGTGCCCATTCCCTGTGCCCATTCCCATTCCTCCTCTTCCTCCTCTTCCTCCTCCTCTTCCTCCTCCTCCTCTTCCTCATCTCTCCCATTTCCCCCAAATTTTCCCTTTTCTCCCCAATTTTTCATCCCCATTTTCCCAACTCTTCTTCCTCCACTTCTTCCTCTTCCTCCTCTTCCTCTTCTCTCCCATTTTTCCCAATTTTCCCTTTTTCCCCCATTTCCTGTCCTTCATCCCAGTTCCTCCTCTTCCTCTTCCTCCTCCTGCTCTTCCTCCTCCTCTTCCTCCTCCTCTTCCTCCTCCTCCTCCTCCTCTTCCTCCTCCTCTTCCTCCTCCTCCTCTTCCTCCTCTTCCTCCTCCTCCTCTTCCTCCTCCTCCTCTTCCTCCTCCTCCATTTCCTCCTCCTCCTCTTCCTCCTCTTCCTCCTCCTCCTCTTCCTCCTCTTCCTCTCCCTACTCTCTCCCATTTTTCCCATTTTCCCTTTTCCCCCCATTTTCCTGCTCTTCATCCCATCTCCTCCTCTTCCTCCTCTCCCATTTTCCCCAATTTCCCCTTTTTTCCCTCATTTTTGTGCCCATTTTCCCATCTGCTCTTCCTCATCTTCCTCATCTTCCTCCACCCCCATTTCCCCTCAATTTCCCCTTTTTTTCCCCCATTTCTGTGCCCTTCATCCCATCTCCTCCTCTTCCTCCTCCTCCTCCTCCTCTTCCTCCTCTTCCTCCTCTCTCCCATTTTCCTACTTTTTCCCTTTTTTCCCCAATTTCCCTCCCCATTTTCCCAACTCTTCCTCCTCCTCCTCCTCTTCCTCTTCCTCCCCAATTTCCATCCCCCAATAAAAATATTCCGAATTTCCCCTTTTCATTTCATTTTTCACTTTTTATTTTTAATTTCCTTTGATTTTTAATTTCAAAATTAATTTTATTTTTATTTTTCGTTCCGTTTTTTATTTATTTAATTTTCCCCTGATTATTAATTAGTAAATAATTTTTATTTTCCTGTATTTTCCCAATTTTTTATTTTCCTTTATTTATTTTTTTTTTAATTTTTTAAATTTTTTTTAATTTTTATTTTTATTTTTTTATTTTTTATTTTTATTTTTTATTTTTTATTTTTTAATTTTTATTTTTTATTTTTTATTTTTTATTTTTATTTTTCATTTTTCATTTTTTATTTTTTCCCTTTAAAAAATTATAATTATTTTCTTTTTTATTTTCAAATTATTTTACTTTTAATTTCTTTCAATTTTCCTCTTATTCTTTAAATTTCCCCTCATTATTAATTAAAATTAAACTTTTATTTCCTTTATTGTCCCAATTTTTCCTTTTCCTTTTATTTAAATATTGTTCCTTTTAATTTTTATTTCCTTTTGAAAATGATAGTTTAATTAAAATTTATTTTTATTTAAATTATTTATTTTTAGCTTTCTTTCCATTTTCCTTTGATTTAATTTTTCTCTAATTATTAATTAATAACTAATTTTGAATTTCCTTTCTATTCCCAATTTTCCCCTTTAATTTTTTCCTTTTATTTTTAATTTCATTCTAAAATTACTAATTAATAACTAATTTTTAATTTCCTTTCTAGTCCCAAATTTCCCCTTTTAATTTAATTTTTTCCTTTTATTTTTAATTTCATTCTAAAATTATTTTAAAATTCATTCCTAATTTATTTTTATTTAATTTAAATTCATTTTAATTTTATTTAAATTTCTTTAAAAAATTTTATTTAATTTAAATTCATTCTTCAATTATTTTTATTTTAAATTTCCCTTCCTTTCCCCCCTTAATTATTAATTAATAAATCATTTTTAATTTAATTTCTATCCCAATTTTTCCTTTTCCATTTTTCCCATTTTCCCAATTTCCCCCTAAATTTCCATTTTTTTTTGTTTTTTTTCCCCATTTTTTTATTTAATTTTCCCATTTTTTCCCAATTTCCCCCTAAATTTCCATTTTTTGGGTTTTTTTCCCATTTTTTATTTAATTTTCCCATTTTTCCCAATTTTCCCCCTAAATTTCCATTTTTTGGGTTTTTTTCCCAATTTTTCTTTAATTTTCCCATTTTTTATTTAATTTTCCCATTTTTCCCAATTTTCCCCCTAAATTTCCATTTTTTTGGGTTTTTTCCCCAATTTTTTATTTAATTTTCCCATTTTTCCCAATTTCCCCCTAAATTTCCAATTTTTTTTGGTTTTTTCCCAATTTTTATTTAATTTTCCCATTTTTTCCTTTTTTCCAGCGTTTCTCCCGATCCTTTTCCCGCCGGCGGCGCCTTCAGGTAACGCAAAATTCCCAAAAAAATCCAAATTTGGGGCAAATTTGGGACCTTTTCTCCACCTTCTCCACCTTCTCCATTCCACCACCAAAAAATTGAATTTTTGGGCCATTTTTGGGACCAAAACTCTGATTTTTTGGGCTATTTTTAGTTTTTTTTTGACCCAAACCAAGCCGGGTCATGGTGGGACCTCCTCCAACCAAAAAAAATCAGGATTTTGGGAAAAATTGGGATTTTTGGGGAAAAATTGGGACGTTCTTCTCCATCTTCTCCATCTTCTCCACCTTCTCCACCTTCTCCACCTTCTCCACCTTCTCCACCTTCTCCATCTTCTCCACCTTCTCCATCTTCTCCACCTTCTCCACCTTCTCCACCTTCTCCACCTTCTCCATCTTCTCCACCTTCTCCACCTTCTCCACCTTCTCCATCTTCTCCACCTTCTCCACCTTCTCCACCTTCTCCATCTTCTCCATCTTCTCCACCTTCTCCAAAACGTGGAATTTTGGCTCATTTTCCCCATTTCCCTCCCCAGACTTTCCTCTCCCCGCCCCCAACATCTCGGTGACACCACCCAAGTCTCAGTTCCTCATCGGCGACTCCGTGTCCATCTCCTGCTCGGCGCCGCCGCCGCCGCGCCCCGACCGCCTCCAGGGCTTCCGCTTCACCGGCACGTCTGGCTGGGTCACCGACGTCCTCACCTCCAGGAACCGCTTCGTCCACACCTTCACCGTCACCGGTCCACGCGATGGTGGCTTCCACGCCTGCTCCTACACGGTCCTGCGGCGCGGTGGTGGACATCTCCGCTCCTTGACCAGCCGGGCCGTGCTCATCGATGTCCGAGGTCCGGCCGGTGGCTCCTGGCGTTGGGGTTTGGGTGGTTTCACCCCAAAATTTGTTCCTGTGGAGCTCCAACCTTGACTCTTCCACCCAACCGTGGCTTCTCCACCCAACCTTGACTTTTCCACCCAATTTGGAATTTTTATCCCAAAATTCGTCCCCATTTTGGTCCAACCTTGACTTTTCCACCCAATTTTCCATTTTTATCCCAAAATTTGTCACCCTTGAGGTCCAACCTTGACTTTTCCACCCAATTTGAGATTTTTACCCCAAAATTCGTCCCCCTTGAGGTCCAACCTTGACTTTTCCACCCAATTTGGGATTTTTACCCCAAAATTCATCCCCATTGACAAAAATTTGGGGTTTTGGTGTAACAGGGACAGTTTTTATCCCAAAATTTGTTCCCTCTCAGGTCCAACCTTGACTCTTCCACTCAATTTGGGATTTTTACCCCAAAATTCGTCACCCTTGAGGTCCAACCTTGGCTTTTCCAACCAATTTGGTGTTTTTAACCCAAAATTCATCCCCATTTTGTCCAACCTTGACTTTTCCACCCAATTTGTGGTTTTTACCCCAAAATTTGTCACCATTTCGGCCCAACCTTTACATTTCCTCCCAAATGGGAATTTTTTTCGCAAAATCCTTCCCAATGAGGTCCAACCTTGACTTTTCCACCAAATTGGTGGGTTCTAACCCAAAATTCGTCCCCATTTTGGTCCAACCTTGACTTTTCCACCCAATTTGGGATTTTTACCCCAAAATTCATCCCCATTGACAAAAATTTAAGGTTTTGGTGTAACAGGGACAGTTTTTATCCCAAAATTCGAGCAAAATGTTGGGTTTTGTCCCAACGGGGCCGTTTTTATCCCAAAACCCATCTCCACCGAGGTCCGGCTTTGACTTTAGGTCTTCTCCTCCCACCAGATCGTCCAGCCCAACCCAACCTGACGGTGGCGCCCTCCAGCGTCACGGTGGAAGGGCAGCCCCTCGTCTTCTCCTGCGCGGCCCCACCCGGCGCCGCCGAGCGCAGATTTGGGTTCTTCCAGGAGGAGCTGGAGGTCACGGGTGGGATCTGGGAAGGTTCTGGAACCGGCAGCGCCCAGCTGAGGGTGGAGAAGAGCGACCGGAACCGGACCGGGAACTTCAGCTGCCGCTACGAGGAGATGACCGAGGGGCGCTGGATCGCCTCCTACCCCAGCGATGCCGTCCAGGTCATCGTCCAAGGTGATTTTGGGGTAAATCTGCGGTTTCTGGGCATGGAGCCACCTCAGGGGTGGGTTTGGGGATGGTTGAGGAGATGGCGAATGGGGAGTGACGGGGTTGGTTGGGTTGGGTCATGGTTGGGTTTAATTTGGTTTGGTTTGGTTGAGTTTGGTTGGATGTGGTTGGGCCATGGTTGGGTTGTGGTTGGGGTTTGGTTGGATTTAGGTGGGTTTGGTTGGGTAATGTTTGGTTTGGTTTGGTTGGGCCATGACTGGGATATGGTAGGGCCACGGTTGGGTTTGGTTGAGTTTGGTTGGATGCGGTTGGGTCATGGTTGGGTTGGGTTTGGTTGGGTCATGGTTGGATGTGGTTCGGCTGTGGTTGAATTTGGTTGGGTTTGGTTGGGTCATGGTTGGGTTTGGTTGGGTTTGATTTGGTTTGGTTTGGTTTGACTGGGTCATCGTCAGGTCATCATTGGGTCATGGTTGGGTTTGGTTGGGTTTGGTTTGGTTTGGTTTGGTTTGACTGGGTCATCGTCAGGTCATCATTGGGTCATCGTTGGGTTTGGTTGGGTTTAATTTGGTTTGGTTTGGTTGAGTTTGGTTGGATGTGGTTGGGCCGTGGTTGGATTTGGTTGGGTGTGGTTGGGTCATGATTGGGTCATGGTTGGGTTTGGTTGGGTTTGATTTGGTTTGGTTTGGTTTGGTTGGATGCGGTTGGGCTGTGGTTGGGCTGTGGTTGGATTTGGTTGGGTGATGATTGGGGTATGGTGGGGTCATGGTTGGGTCATGGTTGGGTTGTGGTTGGGTCATTGTTGGGTCATGGTTGGGTTGTGGTTGGGGTTTGGTTGGATTTAGGTGGGTTTGGTCGGGTAATGGTTGGTTTGGTTTGGTTGGGCCATGATTGGGATATGGTAGGGCCACGGTTGGGTTTGGTTGAGTTTAGTTGGGTTTGGTTGGGTCATGGTTGGGTCGTTGTTGGGTTTGATTTGGTTTGGTTTGGTTTGGTTTGGCTTGATTGGATCATGGAAGGGTTTGGTTGGGTCATGGTTGGGTTGGGTTTGGTTGGGTCATGGTTGGATGTGGTTCGGCTGTGGTTGAGTTTGGTTGGGTTTGGTTGGGTTTGGTTTGGTTTGGTTGGGTTTGATTTGGTTTGGTTTGGTTTGACTGGGTCATCGTCAGGTCATCGTTGGGTCATGGTTGGGTTTGGTTGGGTTTGATTTGGTTTGGTTTGGTTGAGTTTGGTTGGATGTGGTTGGGCCATGGGTGGGTTTGGTTGGGCCATGGTTGGGTTTGATTTGGTTTGGTTAGGTTGGGTTTGGCTTGATTGGGTCATGGAAGGGTTTGGCTGGGTCATGGTTGGATGTGGTTTGGCTGTGGTTGAGTTTGGTTGGGATTGGTTGGGTCATGGTTGGGTTTGGTTGGGTTTGGTTGGGTTTGGTCGGGTTTGATTTGGTTTGGTTTGGTTTGGTTTGACTGGGTCATCGTCAGGTCATCGTTGGGTCATCGTTGGGTTTGGTTGGGTTTGATTTGGTTTGGTTTGGTTGAGTTTGGTTGGGTGTGGTTGGGCCATGGGTGGGTTTGGTTGGGTCATTGTTGGGTCATTGTTGGGTCATGGTTGTGGTTGGAAAATCGCCGATTCCCGGCGTTTCTCCCCGATTTGCCGATTCCCGGCGTTTCTCCCCGATTTGCCGATTCCCGGCGTTTCGCCCCGATTTGCCGATTCCCGGCGTTTCTCCCCGATTCTCCCCAGGTCCGTGCCCGGCCCCTCTGCTCTCGGTGGAGCCGCCCTCGGGCGCGGTGGCCGCGGGGCACCGGCTGCGCCTGACCTGCGCCGCGCCCCGGCGCCGCTTCCGCCGCCGCTTCCGCTTCTTCCGCGACGGCGCCGAGGTGGCGCCGGGCGCTGGTGACGTCATCGGTGACGTCACCGAGGAGGGGGCGGAGCTGCTTTTCCCGCGGATTTCCCCGGAACTGGCCGGGAATTTCAGCTGCCGGGTGGAGGAGGAGGTGGGCGGGGCCTGGCTGGAGGCCCCGCCCAGCCGGGGCGTGGCCGTGGTGGTCAGGGGTAGGTGGGGGATTTTTGGGGGAAAAACGGCGGATTTGGGTAAAGGGGGTGGGGGGATGGGGGCAAAGGCAGACGCCATCTTGGGATTCATTGGGCGTGGCCGTGCTGTTGGCCACGCCCACCCATTGGCCACACCCTGATTGACCACGCCCATTAATATGGCCACACCCACCTATTGGCCACACCTCGATTGACCACGCCCATTAATATGGCCACACCCACCTATTGGCCACACCCAGTTTGGTTTGGCCACGCCCATTAATATGACCTCACCCATGCAAATGACCACGTCCCAAATGGCCACGCCCATAAAAATGGCCACACCCACCCAATTAACCACACCCCCAAATGACCACACCCACCTATTGACCACGCCCATATAAATAGCCACACCCACCCATTGACCTCACCCCAGTTGACCACGCCCACCAAGATGGCCACACCCACCCCATTGACCACACCCCAAATGGCCACACCCACCCATTGGCCACACCCCGGTTGACCACGCCCATTAATATGGCCTCACCCATGCAAATGACCACATCCCAAATGGCCACGCCCATTAATATGGCCACACCCACCCAATTAACCACACCCCCAAAACGACCACACCCACCGACTGACCACGCCCATCAAATGACCACACCCACTCAAATCACCATCTCCCAAAAGGGCCACGCCCACCCATTGACCTCACCCCAGTTGACCACGCCCATCAAGATGGCCACACCCACCCCATTGACCACACCCCAAATGGCCACACCCACCCATTGGCCACACCCCGATTGACCACGCCCATTAACATGGCCACACCCACCTATTAACCACTCCCAGTTTGGTTTGGCCACGCCCATTAATATGGCCACACCCATGCAAATGACCACGTCCCAAATGGCCACGCCCATAAAAATGGCCACACCCACCCAATTAACCACACCCCCAAAACGACCACACCCACCTATTGACCACGCCCATCCAAATGGCCACGCCCACTCAAATAACCATCCCCCCAAAAGGCCACGCCCATATAAATGGCCACGCCCACCCATTGACCTCACTCCAGGTGACCACGCCCATCAATATGGCCACACCCACCCCATTGACCACACCCCCAAATGGCCACACCCACCCATTGGCCACACCCTGATTTACCACGCCCATTAGTATGGCCCCACCCACCCATTGGCCACACCCTGAATGACCACGCCCATTAATATGGCCTCACCCATTCAAATGACCACATCCCAAATGGCCACGCCCATAAAAATGGCCACACCCACACAATTAAACACACCCCCAAAATGGCCACACCCACCTATTGACATCACCCCAGTTGACCACGCCCATTAATATGGCCACACCCACCTATTTACCACACCAAGTTTGGTTTGGCCACGCCCATTAATATGACCTCACCCATGCAAATGACCATGTCCCAAATGGCCACGCCCATACAAATGGCCACACCCACCCAATTAACCACACCCCCAAATGACCACACCCACCTATTGACCACGCCCATATAAATAGCCACACCCACCCATTGACCTCACCCCAGTTGACCACGCCCATCAAGATGGCCACACCCACCCCAATGACCACACCCCAAATGGCCACACCCACCCATTGGCCACACCCTGATTGACCACGGCCATAAGTATGGCCACACCCACCTATTGACCACACCCAGTTTGTTTTGGCCACGCCCATTAAGATGGCCTCACCCATGCAAATGAGCATGTCCCAAATGGCCACGCCCATAAAAATGGCCACACCCACCCAATTAACCACACCCCCAAAATGACCACACCCACCTATTGACCACGCCCATCAAAATGGCCACACCCACCCCATTGACCACACTCCAAAATTTGTAATTTTGGGGCGGTTTTATTTATTTATTTATTTATTTTCACTATTTGCTGACCCTGGGATTGGTTTTTTGGGGCATTTTGGGGTTTTTTTGAGGTAATTTTGGTTTTTTTAAGGTCATTTGGGGTTTTTTTGAGGTATTTTCTGACCCTGGAGGTGTTTTGGGGAAGTTTTGGGGGTTTTGGGGTATTTGCTGACCCTGGGGTTTTTGTGAGTGGTTTTTGGGGTTTTCTGGCTATTTATTGACCTGAGAGGTTTTTTTGGGATGCTTTTGGGTTTTTTGGGGTGTTTGCTGACCCAGGGGTTTTTTGGGGCGGTTTTGTGGTATTTGCTGACCCAGGGTTTTTTTTTTTTGGGTGGTTTTTGGGTATTTACTGACCCTGGGGTTTTTTTGGGGTGGTTTTGGGATTTTTGGGCATTCACTGACCCTGGGGTTTTTTTTTGGGTGGTTTTGGGGTTTTTGGGGTATTCACTGACACTGGGGGTTTTTTTGGGTGGTTTTGGGGTTTTTGGGGTATTTGCTGACCCAGGGTTTTTTTTTGGGGTGGTTTTGGGGTTTTTGGGGTATTCGCTGACCCAGGGTTTTTTTTTGGGGTGGTTTTGGGGTTTTTGGGGTATTCACTGACATTGGGAGTGTTTCTGGGGAGGTTTTGGGGTATTTTCTGACCCAGGGTTTTTTTTAGGGTGGTTTTGGGGTATTTTCTGACCCAGGGTTTTTTTTGGGGTGATTTTGGGGTTTTTGGGGTATTCACTGACACTGGGAGTATTTCTGGGGTGGTTTTGGGGTTTTGGGGGCATTTGCTGACCCAGGGGTTTTTTGGGGTGGTTTTGGGTTATTTGCTGACCCAGGTTTTTTTTGGGGTGGTTTTGGGGTTTTTGGGGTATTCACTGACCCTGGGGTTTTTTTGGGGTGGTTTTGGGGTTTTTGGGGTATTCACTGACCCTGGGGTTTTTTTGGGGTGGTTTTGGGGTATTTTCTGTCCCAGGGTTTTTTTTTGGGTGGTTTTGGGGTTTTTGGGGTATTCACTGACACTGGGGTTTTTTTGGGGTGGCTTTGTGGTTTTTGGGATATTTTCTAACCCATTGGTTTTTTGCGGGGGGGGTCTCGCCCCCAGCTCAGTTTGACTTCCTCCCATTGGTCATCGGTGGCGTCGTGGGCGTGGCCTCGCTGCTCCTGGGGCTCCTATTGGCTGCTTGGCTGTGCCGGAGGAAGAGGGGTCAGTGGGGGGAAGGGCGGAATTGGACCCCAAATTGTCCCTAAATCGCCCAAATTTCCCATTTGGACCAAAAATTTCCCATTTTCATCCAAAAATCAACATTTTTCTCTCCAAAATTACCCATTTTTCTGCTCCAGTTTCCCCCTTTGGTCCAAAAATTGGGCATTTTGCCCCAGATTGCCCATTTTGACTCCAAATTTGCCTTTTCTCTGCCAGAACTGCCAATTTGCACCCCAAATTCCCCAAAATGGCCAAATTTATCACCAAAAACCATATTGCTCTAAAATGCTTCTTTGCACCCCAAAATTGGGCTCAACTCACCACAAAATTCGCATTTTTTTATTAAAATACCAGATTTTTGCCCAACTTTGCCATTCTGTCCCCAAATTGCCCGTTTTAATCCCAAAATTCCCACATTTCCCCCTCAAATCCCCACATTTCCCCTCCAAATTCCCATTTTCCCTCCAAATTCCCCTTTTTCCGCCCAAACTGAACCTTCTCACTCCCACACTGCCAATTTTTAGCCCAAAATTGCCTTTTTTCCTATCAAATCCCCAATTTTTACTACAAATTCTGTTTTGAACCCAAAACTTTGATTTTTGCCACCAAAAATCATCATTTAACCGCAAAAACATCTAATTTACCCCAAAATCAACAATTTTATTCCAAATTCCAAATTTCCCCTTTCCCCCAAAATTGTCCCTTTTTGCCTCCAAAAAAACCTGAAAAAAACCCAATTTAGCTCCAAAATCTACCTTTTTACCCAAAAAAATCCTCATTGGCTCTTAATCTATTTTCCCACAATGCTCTTTTTCCCCCCAAATGGAACTTTTTGCCCAAAATGTTGGATTTTCACCCCAATCCAGGAGGTTCCCGCTGGCGGGGGCTGAGCCCTGGCGACGACAACAGCGCCTTCCCCATGGGGGGCTACGAGGTGGCCGCCTGAGCTGGGCCACGCCCCCAAGATGGCCGACAACTCGCAGACCACGCCCCCAAATGATGCTGAGACCACACCCCCAAGATGGCTGACAACTCGCAGACCACGCCCCAAAAATGGCCGACAACTCGCAGGCTTCGCCCCCAAATGATGCTGAGACCACGCCCCCAAGATGGCCGAAAACCCGCAGGCCACGCCCCCAAATGATGCTGAGACCACGCCCCCAAGATGGCCGACAACTCGCAGGCCACGCCCCCAAATGATGCTTAGACCACGCCCCCAAGATGGCTGACAACTCGCAGACCACGCCCCCAAATGATTCCGAAACCCCCACCTCAAAATGGCCGCCAACATGCAGACCACGCCCCCAAATGATGTTTAGGCCACGCCCCCAAGATGGCCGACAACTCATAAACCACGCCCCCAAATGATGCTTAGACCACGCCCACCAAGATGGCCGACAACTTGCAAGCCACGCCCCCAAATAGTGCTGAGACCACGCGCCCAAAATGGCCGACAACTCGCAGGCCACGCCCCCAAATGATGCTTAGACCACGCCCCCAAGATGGCCGACAACCCGCAGACCACGCCCCCAAAATGGCCGAAAAAAATAAAAGCCACGCCCCAAGATGGCGGCTGATGCCCCCACCCACAAGATGGCGGCAGTGGGCGGGGCCAGGCCAAGGCAGCCAATGAGGATTGGTGGAGTTGATTGTGCTGTGTCCTGATTGGTCAATTGGAGCTGGGGGGCATTTATGCAAATGAGATGGTAATGAGGGGTGTGGGAGAATATCTGAAAGTGGTTTTGGGGACATTAAAGTGTTCTTATGCAAATGAGATGTAAATCAGGGGTGTGGGAGAGTCCTTGGAGGTGTTCTGGAAGTTTTGTGTGCATTAAGTTTTTCTTATGCAAATAAGGTGCTAATGAGGGCCCCAGAATGGCTTCTTGAGGGGCCCTGTGGGGACTTAGGGGCTGTTAATATATGTTTATGCAAATGAGATGCAAATTAGAGGCACATGGAGGATGCCAGGGGGGTGGTGGGGAAATTTAGGAAAAATTATTGGTTTATTATGCAAATAAGATGCAAATTAGAGGCACATGGAGGATGCCGGGGGGGGGTGGTGGGGAAATTTAGGGAAAATTAATGGTTTATTATGCAAATGAGATGCTAATTACGGGCACAGGACAATTACTTGATAGGTCCTGGAGGTATTTGGTGTTATTTATGCAAATGAGATTCAAATTAGGGCTGCAGACAGGGTCTCTGGGGGGGCTTCAGGGAAGTTTGGGAGGAAATGGATGGGTTCATATGCAAATGAGATGCTAATAGGGGGCTGTAGATGGTCTCTGCAGTGGTCCTGGGGAGATTTGGGGGGTGTCTATGTAAATGAGGTCTGTGGGAGAGTTCTCTGTGAGGGGTCCTTATGCAAATGAGATGCTAATGAGGAGCACAGAACAGTTACTTGATGGGTCCTGGAGGTACTGGGGGGTATTTATCAGTTTAATCACAACTATCAGTTTAATCACAACAGATGCACCTTTATTAAGGGCCAAAAACCAATAAATGCGATAGTGGGGTCAGAAAAGAAATAAAAAGGAGAGAGAGAGAGAGAGAAAGGGGGGATGGGAATAGCTACCAACACAGATGAGGTCCTCACTGGTCTGGACCATGGGGATCCGTCTTGTTGTACTGGGGAGAGTCTCCAAAGTCCTACCTAACCCAGGGGTCCAGTTATAGTCCCCAGAGGGAAAAGGGGGGAACATGCAGAACAATGAGAGTCTATTGAAATTGCTATGGGGGGAACAGGTGTATCTACAGAAAATCATCCAGGCTGAACAAACACAATGATGAATAAGTCCATTGAAGTTACTGGAGAAGAACAGGTCATGTCATTTCCCCCCACCACCACTCTCTGTGGTGGGGGTCTCAGTCTCAGTCCTTGGGGAGAGGGTTCTTGATCTCTGTCTGTCACGGTGGTAAGGAGGCAGATGAGGGGTCTTCAGTGAGAGACCACCAGAGTCACCCCAACAGTTCATTCAGCTTAAAGGTGGAGAGTGAAGCAGGAATTGCAGAGGGCTGCTCTGTGCTGGGTCCACGCTGGGTCTTCGCCAAGTCCTTGCCAACTTCTTGCCAAGTTCTTGCCGGGCCTCGTTGGGAACAGAACGTAACGGTGCAGCGGCTGCACCTGCACTGTTGCCTTCTCCAAGCCGGAACTGCAGTGGGGAAGGGAGTTCCTTCTCATGGCAATCGGCAGGCAAATGAGTGAGGGTCTTCAGATTGCCTCTTACACCACCCCGTGACTGACGATTGCCCTCAAGAGATCTTCAGCAGGGTTCTGTAGTGTCGTTGTGAAGTCTTCAGGACTCGTCTAGTGTTGGCAGCATATACCAGAGAAGGGGAAAAAAAGAAAAAGGAGGGGAAAAGAGAACAGGGAAAATAGTAAAACAATAACAATAATTAGTATAAATTGAATCAATATTAATTGGAACAATTTTCTAATCAATAAACAATGAGTTGATTAAATGATATTAAAACAATTCTTTAACAATAAACTAATAAAACAATCTTTAAGAATTCAAATCAGGTTTTCTAAAACAAACAATCTTCCAATCTTATAATTGCTTTGTGTCTATAGTCCTGGGGATGTCTATAGTATAAAGCACATCGGCCAAGTGGTGTGCATTAATTATAGCTGTCAATTTTGTTAATCGTTTTATCATTCTCCAATGCTTAATAAGCAAGATTGCTGATAAAGCAAAGGCAATCAAAACTAAAATCCAAAGGGCAAAAATGGGATGACACAATTTGTTCAGGATACCTGTAGCAGTAGGTGACCACCCAAAAAGTGTATCCCACCACCTATGTTCTGCATCACTTTTCACCCTTTCTATAACCCGATGTATTTCTTGTACATCATGATGAATAGTTACCAGTGTTTTCTGTCCGTTCTCCTTGATTTTTCCTAAGATTTCAATTAAGTCCCGGTGAAGCAACAATTGCCTTACCAGAGTAAGATTCATTCCAATGGGGGTAGGCAATAGCTTATGAATCAGCGTGTAATTAAATTCTAAAAGTTGATATGAAGTAACTGGAGCTTCAAAAGAAAAATCACATCCTGTAATTTTAGTGAAATTGCAAGCACAAAAATTTGAATGATTTTTAGTATCTACTACTGTGTCTTCTACATACACTGTGTTACAAGCAGTTCTAAAGCATGCACATCCATTGCCTATATATACAAGGAATGTTTTAGGAGTTTCGTTAGGATGGATTTCAAAGTGACAGGTATTTTGTTCAGTGTGCAGACAAATATCCTGAGCTATAATTGCATTGCCTTCACAGATGAACCCTTGTTGTTCTTGGACAATACAAGATTCTAAGTTAACAGTTTGCCATTTATCATCAATATGTCGGGACCATTCTCTATGCTCGGAAGGATAGAGAGTGGCTCCATCATGATTCAATCCTAATGCAATGATGGGGAATATTGAATGCACGGAGGCATTGTGTATGGTTAACACAAAAGCTGTGGCTAAGTTTGTGGTGGGGTCATAAGTAAAGTTTACCAAATTCCACCAGGATTGGAAATCCTTTTCAAAGTCAGTGGCACTGTCCCAAACTATCTTCCGAATTTCCATAGGAAACGTGCCTTCTTCACCTTCTCTTATAAGTGAAGCAGCAACTGACTGCATCCATAATTGTGCCTGGATGCAGCTAAGGGCTAAGGAAACGTTGCTTTGTGTAGCATTGAGTGCATCAATTATCAATTCGTGGTCATTCAGATTTACCTTTTCCCAATTTGGTAATATGTTTGTTAGCAACCACTGATGCGTTCCCACGGCTGATAAGGATGATTGCAATGGTTGTTGTAATTGGGTCAAATCTTTAGTTGTAGCAGCCAATTTATTTAATAATACTTCTGAATTAATACTATTTAGAATTCCCAATCCTGTTCCCACAACACCAGTTATGTCTCTTGGTATCCGTGTTTTAGAAGGGTTCCACTGTCGCAACCAGGTCGTCCACCCCTGGAAAGAAGTTTGCAAGAAAGGTGAACAAGCTGGCTGAACTTCAGAGACATTGCTTTGCATTAGCAATTTAACTTGTTTAAGAGACCATGCCAGATTGAACAATATTTGTTGTTGGCCAGTTTTCCTGATTATATATGGTCCAACTTTAGAAATTTTTGGGGTAAGCATAACCGGTGGTTGGGTGGTAGGTATCACAACATTAACATCAAGTTCTCCCCAGTATTTAAATCAATACTTTAAACTTAAAAGAAAGTGCTTCAGTATATTTGGACCAAAGACAAACTACTTCTGCAGTTTGTGTTAATGTGAAATTGTGTCAACAATCCTGTACGCTTCGGTGCGTACAAACCTTTTTGTGCTTAAAGAGATCTTTTCACTTTTTCTGCATGCTACCACAATTATTTCAGACCGCAACCACTCAGCTGGTTTCTGTCCATGGGGTTGTGGTAGGATGCAGGAAAGTATTACCAGTTTTATCATGGATTAGGGGGTCTTCATGTCCCTTGGAGTTCTTCTGTAAAAGTAAACACAACAGAATCCTGCCAGCGAGAGGCAGAAGAGGTTAGAATGATGGAATTATCCTGCATGTATTTATCCAATGCTCTTTCCCTAGAGCACCAGAGGCTTTCCATGCACATTTATTCAGAGGGGGTTTTAGCACAAGTGGTACTAGCCCTATAGTAAGGGATGCCCACCAGAACAGGTTGGCCAGGGTAATGTGCTGGATTATCAGGATCATTTGATGCACAGCATAGGAGTCAGTGTAGAGACAGACAAGAGAGGCATTCTGTGCTTCTTGTTAGAAAACACTCCAGACAGCTCTCAGCTCCTTGACCTGAGAACTGCTTTCTCCCTCATTAATTAGTTCACCAGAGGAAATGTGGGGGGCTGCTGCCCTGTATGTCCACACCTTCCCTTCTCGTTTAGCAGAGGCATCAGTGAACCAAGAGTTTGCTGATTGTTCAGGGCAGAAAGGAGGGACCACTTTGATTACAGAGGCAGGTTTGTCCTGGCTGCTATCCAAGCTCTCAGTTTCTTGTATTGCGAAATTTTTCACAGCTCCTTCTGTTACTGTAAAGATGTTACAGTAATGTTCAATCTGAGCATACCACTTTCTTACCGAGGCCCTCTGGGCCACCCCGTCAGGAGGGGGGGTCCCAGTAGTGACTGTCTTAGTATCATTGAAAGGGCTTCTCAATACAATTGGTAGTTGTAGTGCAAGTCTTTCCACTTCAATGAGAGCCAGGCTGACCACAAACAATCCCTTTTCCCAGGTAGTGTACCTTTTCTCAGCATCTCTGAAACCATGGGAATAGAAACCAACAGGCATTGTTGGACCCTCGGGTCCCCGCTGCCAAATGTGTACTGACAATCCTGAGACAGCAAATCCCCATTCTACCTGAAAGGGGACTGTAGGATGAATAGGGCCCAGTGCTTGATGAGCAGTTGCTTCAAAAATCAGTAATTGCAATGCTTCTTCCTGAGAAGGAGTTTTACCCCTTTCCTTAGCAAGTCATAAAGGGGCCTAGCAATTATTGAGAAATCTGGAATGTGTTTTCTCCAAAACACTAATAATCCCAGAGCCTGTTGTAGATCTTTCCTGGAATGAGGCATTTTAATCTGATCTAAAGAAGTTAAGGTATCAGGTGGAATACATGTCATGCCTCCTTTCCACCAAATCCCCAGAAACTTTACTTCTTGAGAGGGTTTTTGAACCTTTTCTGGGGGGATCTGTAAATCGAGACTCTCTAAATGGGAGATTATTTTCTGTTGAGTCTCTCTTACTGCTTCAATTTCATCCCCTCCCACCAAAATATCATCAATGTATTGATACACTGCTACATCATCAGGTTTGGATATCTCCTCTAGTTCTTTAGCTAAGGCATGGTGGGCTAAGGTGGGTGAATGCTTGTATCCTTGTGGGAGTCTAGTGGAAGTGTATTGCTGTCCTTCCCACGTAAAGGCAAAACGGTCCATGTCTTCTGGTTGTAATGGTATCATAAAGAACATATCTTTGACATCTATAGTTGCCATAATTGGATGAGCTTTTTCTTGAATAGATGTTATTAATTCTGCTAAGTTTGGGACCGCTGCTGTGAGAGGATCTGTGTTGGCATTAAGCCTGCGAAAATCGACTGTCAGTCTCCATTTCCCATTAGGTTTTCGGACTGGCCAGACGGGTGAGTTGAGGCTGGGGCTGGGGCTGGGGCAGCCAGCCCGACACAACCAAACCCCCATGGTGGGAGCAGAGGTGGGACTCCAGACCCTGTGCAGGGGCTGCTTTGCTTTGCAGGCAAGGAAGGGCTTGGGCTGCTCCTCTGCCCTTGTTTGCTTTGGGAACACCATGGGGGCAGTGCAGAGAGAAGGGAGAAAGCCTGGGATTCCCTCACCCATGGTGGGTTTTTCCCTGGCAAGCAGGGGTTGGACCTTCCTCAAGTCCCTGACAGAGATAAGATTTTTGACCTTTATCCTCACTCCTCTTTTTGTCTGTAATCTATTTTCAGTAATTCGATGTTTGTTTTTCTAGAGGAAGCGTTCTATGTAAGGTCCAGTCTGGATCAGGAAGTGCTTGGGAGCAGCTGCGGCGTGGATGGGCCGTGCCCTTGGAGAAGGCTGAGGACATCGTTTGGGACCAGCTTTTCTCCCAGCGGTGGATGGCGTGAGGTGAGTCCTGTCTGCTGGGGATGGTGGGGTCAGAGCTTTGGGGAGATGGCAGCGAGCACAGGAGCGTCCTGCTCTGGGCAGCTGCTGAGGGCTGGATGTGCCGTGGCTGGCTGCAGGCTGGGAATGTCCTGCCCTCCTGCTCTGCTCCCAAAGGCAGCAGTGATGGGCAGCTCTGGGCACAGCTCTGGGCACAGCCAGCATGGCCTGGGCTCTGTGGGCAGCTGGGACAAGGGGACAGCAGCCTTCAGCTGACGGGTGGTTTCTGGTTTCTCTCCTTGCAGCCGGGCTCTGCGGGTGCTGAGGCTGCTCTGGGCCCTGCCAGGGCTCTGCTGGAGCTCAGCACCGGGCTGCAATCAGCAAAAGGAGAAATGGGGTGCCCTGCAGCACAGACTTGCTTGAGCATTTCAGCAACACAGTTCAAGTCTGCAGAGTGTACACCTCCAAGGGAAAACATGGCACCACCCAAAAAATAAACTTGTTCAATAACTTCTGAAATTAAATCAATCTGGGATGACCCCAAATGACATTTTGCAGCTTGCTCAAGCTGTAGCTCAGCCCTTCTCTAACCAGTTCTCTCCCCCACCTGCCTATTACTCCCCAACTGCTCCCTATTTTCCGTCAGTGAGCTCCCAGCCCATTCCAGTCTCCATCACACTGTTGCCTTCCTTGGTGCCCCTCACCATGAGGAAGGCCGAGCCCCAGGCTTAGGGACTCATCCTGTCACTGGCTGAGGAGCAGCAATGTCTCAGAGGTCCGGTGGGATTTTAGTGTCATTCAGAGCTGCTCTCCAGCCCCCAGCTCTCCTCACTGCTGAGTTCCCGCTCCCTTTTCCTCATCCTTGCAGCAGGATGAGCTCTGTGAATCCCCTTGAGCCTCCCCACTCTTCCCAGCCCACGCACCCACCTCAGTTAGGCTGAAGCTGCAGCTTCTCTGTCTCCTCTGGCACGCCAGTGCAGTCCCCTGTGCGGGGAGCCCCAGCCCCAGAGCACAGCACTCAGCAGTGCAGTCGGGGCTGGAGCAGCTGCCCTGCAGCCCTGGCTTGGCTCTTTGTGGCAGGGAATGCTCCTTGTTTGCAGCTGTCCCTGCAGGATAGCCCCAGGGCAGAGCCCAGCTGGGCTCCCACTGCAGCCCCTGAAGCTGTGAAACCAGTGAAATCATCCAGACTGTGTTTTTCAAAGGCCCTTAGTAGGAAGGGCTTGAGAATAAACGTGCTCTGTTTGCCACACGAACATCGGGGTGAGTGGTCTCTTTGGCTCCAACCCACTTTCCTCCCTGAGCCAGCGTTACCCACTCCCTCACACGTCCCCCCAGTGCCTTCCCACTGCCTTGTCCTGTCAGGGCTTCCACAGCCCCTCATCCTTTTGTGGCCCCGTCCCCTCAGGGTCTCCCCCAGCCCGGCCAACCTGCCCGGCAGCAGCGCCGCAGCCCCACAGGAGCTCCAGAGGAGCCCCATCAAGAGGCACCTGGGAGCCCTCAGCAATCCAGCCAGCAACACACGGGCAGGAGGACACAGATGGCGCTTCCTGCCTGGGACAGGGCTTGTGGCCATCTCCAGGCACCGGTCTCACAGAGATCCCCACAGCTCCAGCCCCTGCCCATCTGCTCTGTCAGCAGCACAAAGGCTTCAGCAGAACCCCCAAAGGCCAAGGGGCTTCTGGCCATTTCCCCTGCAACCCTGCATGCCTGGGCAGCTTGCTGAGCCCAGGAACCTTTTTCTCCCTCTTCCCCATGGCCCTGCAGAGCCTGGGCAGCAAAAGAAAGATCCTGGGAGTCTGTCTATTACAACACATCCTATATTTATATGCTAAAGAAAAACAAAAAAAAGAAAAGAACAATCTTGAAGAAATTAAACATTCCTGCTGGCTCAGGTGGCCCCAGCAGACAGAATCTCTGGGATCAGCTCTCTGCAGAGCTCCAGCAGCGCAGCCAGCCGAGCCCCGACAGACGAGGCCGTCTCCTCCATGCCCTGCAGAGCCGATCATGCAGGTTGCCAAAGATGGAATGTGGAGCTCTCTCTGTTCCCTGGAGGACGTACAATGTTTGAATTGCCAGGCTTCCGACGGCAACACTGATGTCATTGGCCATGCCTTCAAGGGCTGAAAGAGAGAGGAACAGAGCCATGGTCAGTTCCCGCATCTGAGGGGACCCAAGGAGACTCTGTGCCAGGGCCATCCCAGCCGGCTCTGGCCATGGACAGCAAGGAGCAGGGACCAGCTGGATCAGCCCGAAGCTGCTGGCCACGAATCCCCCAGGTGCCCTGAAACCTCTGTGTGCTCTGCCCACGCCGGCCCTGGTCCGCACAGGGAGCAGAGCCCTCCGCAGCCGGGGCAGGGCTCCCAGCTCCCCCGCCAGCCCCCGCTGGCAGCCCGCTGCCCTCACTCACCCTCAGAGATGAGCTGGAGCTCTTTGGTCCTCCCCCTCAGGTACTGCCCGGCCGTCCCTGGGAACACAGAGCCTGTCAGGCCCAGCGGCACAGCTCCCTGCCAGCGGCGCTGCCAGCCCTGTGCCCACACGGCCTCCTGGCCCGGCAGGGCTCGGGCCGGGCCCTCGCCGCTCGCTGCCGCCCCAGGGCACGGCTGGAGAGGGCGGCAGCAGCGCCCAGGGCAGGCGGGGCTCCGCGGCACCGGCCCGGGGCTGGGGCCGAGCTGCGGCGGGGCGGGGAGGGAGCTCGGGCTCCTGGCTCACCCATGAACCTGACGGCCGCCTCTCGCAGGGGCTGCTGTAGGTTCTGCAGGTAGGGCAGGGCCCGGCGCAGGTGCTCGGCCACTCTGCTCCTGTCCTCTGCCAGCTGCAGAGAGCGGCAGCAGGGAAGGGTTGGCGCGGGCTCAGCCCCTGGGCCGGGCGCTCTCCGCGCCAGCCCCGGCCTCCCCTGCCCGCACAGCCCTGAGGCGCGGCCAGCAGCCGCCGGCGCCGGGCTCTGGAGGGGGCAGAGGGCCGGCTGCTGCCCGGGGAGCCGCGGTGCCGCCCCGCAGCCCCGCCGGGCCGGGGCTCCATCGGCACCCGGCTCGGGCCGCAGGAGCCGGCACGGCCTCGGGCTGCAGCAGCGGGCAGGGGCACAGCTGCCAGCCTGCACACCGAGCACCGCGCTCAGGGGGCTTCTCCAGCCTGGGGCTGCGGCTTCCCGGCCCTCCTTACCAGCCACTCTGTGAACTTCCACAGCTTCTTGCTCTTCACCAGCTTTTCAAGTTCCGTCCTCTTCAGGAACTCGGCCGCACACAGAAGCGTTTCCTGAGAAGCCTGGAGAGCAGCAGAGACGTGGAGATGGCCCCACAGCCCAGGGCGCAGGACCTGTGTCCCTGTGCCAGGGCCTGGAGGAGGCTGCAGCCCACGAGGCGCCAGGGCAGGAGGCAGCCCAGCCCCCTCCCAGGGGAACAGCAGCAGCCCACGAGTCCTCACCTGTGCCACTCGCTGATTCTCATCATGGCAGTGGAAGAAGAGTGGCAGCAAGGTCTGGTGCACGTGTGTCTTCAGAGCCCCTTTTTCCTTTTCTTGTGGAAGAGTCACCAATGTTCCAAGGAGCACTATGGAGAGCAGCTGCACTTGGCTATTGTCCTGTATGAAGGGAAGAAAAAAAGACCTCAGCATTGGTTGTATGGAGCTCAGCTTGGTGCAGGCCTGCAAATCCGCAGGGCACAAAGTGTCCGGGCAGCAGCCAGTGGCCATGGCTGGGGGCAGTGAGCCTTACGTGGTCAAGGAGTGGCAGGAGAGCCTCAACCAGCTGCAGTGCAATAGAGCTGGGTATCAGCATGTCCTTTTCCAAGATGATAAAGTTGAGGAGCATGGCTGTCATGCTAACTATCTCTCCATCTGCGTCCCAGAGGAGCTCCACAAGACTTTCAGTCAGGCTCCACATTTTTTTGCTCTGTGCGGAACACAAGTTTGTGAAACGCCATCCTGCTGCCGCAGGGCCTAGAGGCCAAAGGGCTGTTCTGAAGCACTTGGGCAGCTGAAGCAGGAGGCAGGAGAGCTGGGAGCAGCTGGCCCAGTGCCCAAAGCCCAGCCAAGCCCAAGTGACTGCATTCCCAAGCGCAGCCTCAGCCCTTGCCCCCTTCTCACCATCAAGGGATTGTTGATGAGATCAAGAAGGGCCCTGAGCACCAGGTGACACTTCTCTCTGCACCCGCTCTGCAGGTGCCTTGACAAGATTTGCAGGACTCTGTCAGCACCGCGTTCACTCATGTCCAGGCACTTGAGGACCTGAAAGGCACAGGGCAGTGACAGGGGACCGGCCAGCAGGAGCCCAGAACCGCACAGGGCTGAGCCCAGGCAGCAGCACAGGGCGCGGGCTCCGTCCCAGGCAGCTGTGGCTACGAGAGGGCAGAGAGCTGGGAGGCAGCTGAGCGAGGCAGTGCTGGCCTTCAGGCTCACCTCCACAAAGAACGCCAGGGAGGGCAGCTCCCAGCGTGGCTCCTGTGTGCTGAGCAGCCGGAGCAGGTAGCGAGCGATCCGGGAGCACAAGGGGATGGAGACACAGGACATCTCCCTGGCAGGAGACAAAGTAACCAAGACTGTGGGCCAGGGGGACAAACCTCTCCCAGGACTGACTCACAGAGGTCTGGTCTTTCCCCAGCATCCTGCAAGGGCCCCTGGGCTATTTGGGAGGTGGCTCCTTGTGGGAACCCTCCTCTCCCAGCCTTTTCCAGTCTGCTTGGCTGTCCCTGGGTGACAAGGTCCTCTGGCCCGTGACCACAGGCACTGTATGGGGCACCCCAGGCACAGAGCACAAATGTCAGAGGCAGCGGGGAGAAGGGGGGTCTCACTTGGCCAGCAGACCCACGGCATGGTGGTAGGTGTCAGCACACAGCAGCTTGTCCCAGCCACACTTGCGTTCCATTGCCACCACCACATCCTCGTGCTGCATTTGGCAGAGCAGGGACTTCAGGGTCTGCACTGCAAACCTGTGTGCAGAGCAAAGCCCGGGTCACGCTGGGAGCACTGGCTCCTGCCCAGGGATGTGGCAAGGACAGGAGGACTGGCATGGAGCACCTGTTGGGGCTGGTGTCAAGGCCATATTGCTGCTGGCATCCCTTCCAGAAGGTATTGACCTCCTCTGGCACATCCAGAGTGCTGAAGAGCACTTGGAAGAGCAGATGCACAAATAGGTGGGGGAGATACACAGTCACCATATGTGGGACACAGGGCAGCTGGAGGATCTTCCACATCAGCACAGTTGCCTGCAAAGGACAGAGCAGCCCGAGACAGCGCTCAGTGCCGAGGTGTTCGTGTGGCAGGGCCCGAGAACGGGAGGGAGAGGCCTGGAGAGCCACAGGGGAGCACCGGGCCTGGTGGCCCTGAAGCTGCCCCGAGGCCAGGTTTCAGCCCAGCGCCTGAGGCAGGGAGACGCCGTGAGGGAGGGAGGATGGAGAGCTGCTGGAGAGGTGGCCTTGGGCCAGCAAAGGCCAGTTGCAGAAACTCACAGCCAGGACAAAGACACCCGTTTTGTCCCCATCGGAGGTGCACGTGCTGTGCTCTGGCCAGCTGCCCAGCACATCGAGGAGTACGAGCATGGCCGGCTCTGCAGTCCTGGGCGAACACATGATGCTCTTCCACATGGTCAAAGCAGCTCTGTGGGGTCAGAGCTCTGTCTCAGGGGGGTCTGAGACACAGCACCGTGGCCTGGGCAGCAGTGGGGACCTGAGCTGGCTGCCAGCCCTGCCTCTGCCCACTGCCCCTCACCAGTAGCACTCAGGCAGCCCAGCCCTGTAGGGACGGGCCCCTGAGGGGCAGCGAGGGAGCAGCAGGCTCGGGGGCTGATGTGCCAGGGCTGGCAAAGGGAGCAGCCAGAGGGCCCTGGGACTCTCTGTTGGTCAGACACCTGGGACAGGCTGTACAGGCTGATGGGCTGGGGAGCCCTGAGCCCTCTGGGCAGGTGGGCCCCATACCTGTCACACAATGGGGCCACACGCAGGAGCGTCATGACTACGTCAGCGGGCCGTTCTTCGGTGAGATCCAGCAGGGTCCTGTTCAGCCTGTGCTCAGCAAACTGGTTGGCCTCGAGCCACTGGTGGATGTACCTCACCATGGCGGGCACCTGGAGAAGGCACGAGGAAACTTGGAAAGCTGCCAGAGGGAGGAATGTGCCCAGCTGCCCCAGAGAAGTGCTTCCCTTGCCACCACACTGCCATGGCCTCAAAGGCTTCCAGGGAGCAGCAGACGTGGCTTGGGAGGCCAAGTAATTCCTGGGAGGCTCAAAGCCTGGCCACAGGCTGCTTACTTGCTTTGGATTGGAAAACCCCTCCTCTACCAGCATATCAGCCAGGGCAGCACAGGTCTGGGTTTTGAAGATGTGCGAATATGCTCTGGGCCCTGTGCCCATGGTGGTCTCTTCCTCCCGGATCCTCTTCATGAATTTGCAAACCAGCTGTAGGAGAAGGGCAGGAAGCCAGGGATGTTCCACGGAATGCTCCAAGCGTGGTGCTTGGCTGAGCAGTGCCAGCAGGCCCAGCCCAGGTGGGGATGGCTGCAGGTACCTGCGCTGTTCTGCGGAAGCGGCCACGGGTGCGTTTCTGCTCTTGTGTGCGCTCCACGGCTGCACCTGGCAAAGAGCGAGCGCAGCCCGAGCTGAGGGGCTGCGGGAGAGGCCGGAGAACACAGCCCAGCCCTGCACTGCCCAGGCAGGGACAGCCCTGCGACGCCCCAGGGCATGGAGCACGGCTGTGGGGTGTCTGCCCGGCCCCTATTCCATCCTGTCCATGGGCATGTCCCCAAGGGATGGGATGGGATGGGATGGGATGGGATGGGATGGGATGGGATGGGATGGGATGGGATGGGATGGGGCGGGGCCAAGCTGGCTGCAGCCACCAACCCTGCAGCCCAGCAGCCCAGCTCTGCCACTCACCCTCCTGCAGCTGCTTGAATGGCACCACTTCTTCAGTCTCCTGTGCAGGGGCAGCTCCAGGGCCTTCTTCCTCTTCCTCCACCCAGGCCAGCTTGGGCACTCTTGGGGGTCTCTGCTCCATGTCAGTGGCTGGATTTGTGGTCTGGCCTTGAGGTCAGCTGCAGTAATAACACCTCGAAAAGCTCCAGGTCAGACACGAAGGAGTGCGCTGTGTGGGGGCTCCTCACAGCACTGCTCTGTCCCGTCCTGTCCTGTCAAGTGCTTGGAGCACTGTGGAATGGCCTTGTCACCGCCAGCTCCTATGTCACCACGTGTCACAAAGGGTCCTTTGGCACGCTGTTCCATGCCATGGTGACCATGCTGCAGCGTGTCACAAAGGGCCCCTGCACACACTGCCCCCTGCGCTATGGCCGCCTCCAGCCCACCCAAGATGGCCAGGTTAGAAGGAATCCCTCACCCCAAGTGTCCAAGACAGGCTGACAGAGTCTTTAGGAACGGCTCAAACCATCAGCAAACGCTGCCCTGCTCTGCGGGCTCAGGGCAGCAGGAGCCCCCGCAGCTGGGAAGTGCACAGGGCCTTCCACAGAAGCTGGCACTGCCTCCTTGAGACATGTCCCAGCTGGTGGCCATCCTAAACCCGCAGGTGTGGCACGCACAAGGAATGTGTGGGTCAGGGCACGAATGCTGCTCTGACCCCTGGGGCCCGGGGAGCGCTGACACCAGCAGGTGAGGCAGAGTCCCTGCCCAAGCAGACCTGCCACCCCCGAGCCCTGGCAGCGCTGGTGCCCTGTCTTCTGCCCCAGAGACCTGTGCCCCTGGGGGGCTTCTGTGCCAGAGGGAGCCAAACCCACGTGCACTGGGGGGCTGTGCTCCTGCCTGCAGGGGCTGTTGGCAGGAGCACCTGCAGCAACTGCTGGCAACACTTGGTCTCTGTCAGAAGCTCTTACTCCATGCTGAAATTATTTTCTCATTGAAGTTATTGCCTTCAGCACAAAAACACCTTAGCAGCGAAGGCACAGAAGAATCTGGCAAGTAAGAATCCTCAGTTCAGGAAAGCTTTACTTCCCATTGCTCAACTCAAGTAGTTCCAAAACACTGCAAACTTCCCAAATTAATTGGGATAGCCTGAGGAAAAGAAGATTTGGAATTTTGCTTCCCATCTCAAAGCAGCAACTCATTTGCCTTAACCTCATCCATTGAGGGTCACTTTACAGAACATAACACTACACAAAACAAGGGCAAAACCAAGGGCCTTTCTTTGGTTTGCAAATGGTTTTCTATGAAGGGATGATAATATCCTAATTATCTTAAGGAATAAAAGATCTCAAGAAATGAAAGTCCACTCAGTGTTACAAAAGTAGCCTAAACAAATGAATAGAAGGAAAAAAGGCTAATCCTCCCCCTGGTAGAGATATCGAATTGTCCAGTAAAGTACAGCTCTCCCCTCTTGTTCTTTGCAGGAGAATCAGGACCATGAAGAGGAAAAATCACAAATATTCTTTCTGCCCTCCGTAACCAAAGCTGTGCCAAACCAGAGATGCTGCCTTCAAAGTGACTCAAATTCCAACCTAAACCACTCACCTTCCAGACAACTCCTTCCCCAACACCCCACCAACACCAACACCCCCAAACTCCGGCACAGAAGCCCTCAACACCCCGTCAGGGGCCCCAGCTGCCCCCGTCCCTCTGCAGAGCTTTCCCACCCTCCAGCAGATGCCCGGGTTCCCTGCACGTGCCATGGGATGGCACTCAGGAGGATCTGCTCCGAGGCCTTCCCCTGGAGCGAGCTCAGGCTGCCAGGCCTACGGGTCCTGGATCATCCTTCCCACCGAGCCTTCCTGTGCACGGCTGTTCCATCTGCACCTTTGGGCTCAGCTCGGACTTCTCCACCTAACCAGGAGTGTTGCAGCGCGCGTGTGCGGGGCGTGCTGGACGGCTGTGGCACAGGCGTGACTGTCCCCCTGCGAGCTCTGCAATTCCCAGTTATCGGCAGGTCTGGCGCAGGGACAGACAGCGATGACACGGGTCTGGGTGTAGAACAAGATGGATTTATTCCTGGGCTCCCCAGCAAGACTGGGGGGCGGGGGTGAACAGAAGTTTTTATACAGCAACTCAGGAGGCGGGTGTAGGAAAGTGAACCAGTGAGGATATGGTAAGGGAGGAATATAAGGTGGGGCAAATAGCTTATGAGCCTATCAGGGAAAACAGGGGAGGGGAATAATACAAAGTAAGGAGTGGGGTATCGAGGGCAGCAAGACAGACACTGAACTCTCTGGAGAAAGGGGTAGGGATAGGGAGGATTGACAGCTTGGAAGGGAGGAGGTTAGGGAAGGACTTGGGAAAATTGGCAACAGGGACAGGGAGTGGATTAGGCAGGAGAACAGGGGGCAAACATGGATTCAAAGCAAAACACACCACAATACCTCCCTGTGTCTTTTTACAAAAGGGAGGAGAGTTCTGGGGTTCAAAACAAATTAATGAATCTATTTTATAACATAACATATACATAATCTATCATATAACAGATTTTAGCATGTGACAAAATATTACAGCAACAGAGAAGAATTCAAAAATTATCAGGAAAAAATGAACTATTCATGACCATAAGGCATGGGGTAAGGATCTTCTTTACATAAGAAACTTAATATAAAATGTACAAAGTTATTATATATGGAATCAGAGTTGGGAGTAGGAATTGTAGTGGAATTATCTTGAAGTAGGACTGGGCTTGAAGCATGAATCACTGAGGAATCTGCTGGTTCTGGCTTTCTGGGGTTTGAAAGTGATTTTGGAGGTCACTCCTCCTGTAGGATGTGATCAGCAAATGGAGATGTGGTCTTGCTCATTTTATTTTATGCAACTGCGGGTATTAACTGGACAGAATGATTCCTCTCTCTATAATATATAACTTAACAAGCAGATTATTTTAAAGTATCAAGAATATAATGAACAATTTTTTAGTCAAGAAATTTAGTTTGGAATGTGGGAAAATGGTTAAAGAAAAATCAACAAAATCATGAAGTTTAAAGAAGGTCTAAAGTTAAATTAATGAACTCTTTTCCCAAAGCATACTGTGAAAACTTTAAAACAACATTGAAATTAAAAGGAGATTATTTTAAAGTATCAAGAATATAATGAACAGATTATTTTTAAGTATTAAGAACATAATGAAAAATGTTTTAGTCAAGAAATTTTGTTGGGAATGTGGGAAAATGGTTAAACAAAAATCAACAAAGATCATGACATTTAAAAAAGGTCTAAAGGTAAATTAATGAACTCTTTTCCAAAGCGTACTGTGAAAACTTTAATACAATTTTGAAATTAAAAGGAACATTTGGTAGGGTATAATTAAGGAAATGGATAGGCAACTTGGGCAGTCACTCTTGAATAATTTTGTTCTTATATTAATACAACTGTTTATTTTTTTTTTTCATTATGAAGATGGTAGGTTGTTTTTTTTTTTTACTTTGGACAGTTTTTTCTTATGTGATCTTTCTTTTTACAGGTGAAACAAATTTTTGACTTTGATGGGCAAACAGGCAAACACTTGCCTCATGTCTCTTTTTTCTATACTTAGAACATATTTTAAATTGTTATTTTTGGTTCCTTTTTTCATTTATCTCAACTGTGGAAGCTTGTAGGTTGATGATCTTGAACGGTTCCCACAAAGGCATTGAAGGGTCAAAGCCTTTGGAGAGATTCTTCCAAAAATTAAATGCAAATTGAATTCATAATTGATTCAGTTCATAAGAAGAAATATGATTACTTTGGCGACTGCCACAAGTGTTATGGGGTGTCGATAAGGGGACGAACCTGGGCGCCGCCATCCTAGGGAGAGACAAAATGGAGGATTCCAGGTCTGGGTTTCCAGCTCCACCTTCCTCCGAAGGAGGTCTCTCCATAAAAGAGGGTGATCTCCCAAGAAGGAGGGTCCCCTGACGGGAGGCCCCATAGGCGATCCTCCCCCCAGAGCAGGAGCCGGAATAAGGAATGGGGGATGGTCCAACCCCACCTTCCAACAAAGGGCACTGGCCCCACACGCGATTCGTGCAGGGGCCTCTGCGGAAGGGGTGGGGCTGGCGGGAAACTTGGGGCCGGAGAAGAAGGGTCCAGGCAGGAAAGGGTGTTCCAAGCGGTGTGGCCATCACCACCTTGGAAAGGAGTGCCGAGTGCACTGCAGTTCCCTCAAGAGGTCTGAACAGTGTCCAGCGGGGTGCTTGGGGTGCTGTGGCCAACACCATCCCCAAGGGAGGATAGGGTAGGGTTTTGGGAAGTCCGATGGACAGAGGGTACAGGGAGCTTCACAGAAGCCACAGGGGAACTTACAGGGGAGGAGCCCAACGCAGCTAAATTTCAACGAGGTGCATGGGTGTCAGGGGCTTCTTGCATAATATTAGATTCTCCCCTATTCTTATAAACGTGCCATTGTTTGATGGAAAATTTCTGCCCTATTCTTCTCTTTTCTACTCTCTCAGCCCTCATGGGATACCCCAGCCTTTGGGGGAGAGCCCAGCTTTGTGTAAGAGAGAGACTAGAAAAGCACCTCCTGATAAGTGGAGACTACCTTCAGGGGATGCCCCAACCTTTTGGGGAAGAGTGAGGATCCAAGGGAGTGATGGTGAAGATCCCCTAGGATCAGGAGGGTACCCTGTGGTCTCCGCAAGCTTGGCCACCAGCTTGTGGAGACTAAACCCACCCGCCAGGAAAACACCCTGCTTCGGCTCACTTACCCTCAGAGCTGTCCTTTGCTTTTAGTTAGTTTTAGCTAGCTGAGGCAAAGAGGTTCCCTGGACTGTGGCTTTTTCTTTTCTTCAGACCTGCTCAAACCTGCTCTGGACTGAGCACCCAGAAGAGCACTGGCAGCTCACACCTGTGGCCCACCAGGCCCGGCCTGGGCCGCAGCATTTCCAGTGCCGGAGGGACCGATAAGAGACTGAGTGAGCCGAACTGCAGCCCGGG